AAGGATAGATAGATAGATAGATAGATAGATAGATAGATAGATAGATAGATAGATAGATAGATAGATAGATAGATAGATAGATAGATAGATAGATAGATAGAGAGATAGATAGATAGATAGATAGATAGATAGATAGATAGATAGATAGATAGATACATAGATAGATAGATAGATAGAGATACATACATAGATAGATACATAGATAGATACATAGATACATAGATACATAGATACATAGATATATAGATAGATACATAGATAGATACATAGATACATAGATACATAGATATATAGATAGATACATAGATATATAGATAGATACATAGATAGATAGATATAAGACGCTACAGCTGCCTGAATAATATAAAGTTACTTAATAATCATTTTAAATACAAATGGCAGAAAAATGCTGAATAAAATTTATTTTGTCTTTTAATTTTTTTTTAAAATTTTTTACAATGATAATAGGAGGAGTATTTTTATTTTAATCAGATTTTTTTTTAATTATTATCATTATTTATACAAGTGGGTCTTCAGGCTAAAGGTAGTTCTTTACAAAAATGTGTTCTGTTTTTAAGACACCATTTCTCCTTTAAGAGCTTGTTTTAAATTTGGACGACTGTTTTATTTGCTACCTGAGTAAGAGAGGTTTGTGTTTTATCTGTTTATGTTTGGTTAGGAGAAATAAGTTTTTTTTTTTTTTTTTAGCTGCCATCTCCACACAAGCTGTACAAATTAAACACAAGCTGTTGTTTTACTTTCGGCTGTTCTCTTCTTGTGGCGGTCACCACATTGAACAAACCAACATGAACGATTCTATTGTTTTGTACTGAATGCTCTTAATGACACAACCTGGGCTTGAACTCCCAACCTCAGGTTATCAAAGCTGTGGCAACGATCACTGAGCTGCCACAGCCTCACGAAACAAGACCAAAAACTACATCATATTCTGAATTATGTCTATTGTGCACAATATTACTAAATTTCTGCTTTTTATTTTATATTATTTTATTTTTGTCAAGTAATGTTTAAGTGTGTGTCATGTGTTTTTTTTTTATTAGCTGGGTTTGCTAAATGTTGGTAGAAGGCTGTGTTTGTATATTCCACAAGCTAACATGCTAACTCTTGTTGCTTGTTGCAAAATGACTGTTTCAAAGCAGAGTTATCTTGAAAAGATAAAACAAGTGTTGCTCCTCTGGTAGACGAGCTACGACTGACTGTTGTTCACCAGATAAAATTTACAACCAACCAACTTTTATAGAGTTTAGAAGTTAAGAAGTCTCACCCTTCCTCACCCTCTTCCATACCTACAATACTTGGAGCAACAACTTCCTTGACAGAAAGAGAAATATTTAAAAGTGCTTCATCTTCATACATTTGCTCTAATTAAATCATAGAAACAATATGGCAGTAAAATTTTGTGGTTTTGACACGACTTTTTAATATTGTTACAGAGATCTGGCCCATGCCTACACAGCAGTTTTTGAAATTGTCACATAATGTAATTATTCATCTCACAGGATAGACTGTGTGTGTGTGTGTGTGTGTGTATGTTGTGTGTTGCTCTCATCTGCATTAGCATTCACAGCACATATGGTTTAGTTAATCTAAATTTAGCTTCTTCTTTTTTGTTTTCCCTAAACACAGAGCAGACAGGTTGGACGAGCAAAGTCGAACTATGAACTATTTTTGTGCAGCTTCTCCAGAAACGCATGTCTGATGTTTAGATGTAAACAGAGCCACTCTGGGAGGTGATGCTGAAATGAACAGGATGGCAAAGTGAACAAAACTGCACAACTTCAATGGAAAAAAAAAAAAAGTGAGCAACTAGCAGGGGGCAAAGAGGCAGAGTGATACGAAGTGAGGCAGACACCGGACAGAGGAAAAGCTTAGATGTGAAGAGTGGAAGATGTGTGGGGATGGACAGCCATATGGAAGAAGATGATTGAGAAAGATATATGGGAAAAGATGAGAGACAGAAAAGGAGGGATGATTTAGAGATGGCAGTAGAGAGCGAGGAAGAAATGGAGCCAAAGAGCAGTGAGAAGAGGTGGGTGGGTGGAGAAGCTACAGACAGGATATCTATTGAAGGGGTGTCATTGTCAAGGGTGTCTCAATAAGATGCCATAAAGCACTCCTATTCTGCCTACTGTCGCAGCGCAGACACTCAAACACACACCAACTTTCAGACAGTGAAAGCTTGTTGATGCATTAGCATCTTCCTTGCTTTTATTTGCCAACATTTCTTCTCTGTGTTTGCAGAGTGTGCAGTGACAACTTTGCCTGCATTTTATTTGTTGAAGCAGAAACAGAACAAATTCTTGTGCAGAGCCGGTTTCTGTCATGTTGTGTTTTATAGGCAGCAGAGCGGGGCTGTCTGAACATGATTACTGGGAAGACGGGTCGAAAGCTTCGGCTGAGTTTATAAAAGGCAGACATTTGTTAAAGTTTGTGTTGTTGCAGATTTTGCAGCAAAAATATCTGTTTTCTCTTATTTGCACTTTTTTGCAGAAGCACATCAAAAATTTATATCACCTAAAACTTCATATGATTTCAGTATTATTTTTCTTTTTTGGTAATACTACAATAATTTTAAAGAGACTGCTTGACATTTCCGAGACTTTTTTATTGAGACTTCCGGGAAGATGGCGCCGGTGTTGGTGGCTTGCCGTTCACTTCTGTTTGTTTTGATCAGGGTTTTTTTTTTTGTTTTTGTCATTTTTCTTCGGTGACATCAACTCACTGCTTGTTTATGATCGCCAACAACTTTTAAATATAGTTATCTACTGCAAACCTCACCTTGTTTGATCACTTTGATCGGGGCTCTGGACCCCCACCCCCTCTGCTTGTTGATGTCCCTGTTTACCTGCAGCGCGCAGCATTTCTGCCCACCTGAAAACATTGCTCCAGGCGCCGTGGAAGACATGCCTGCCGTCTCGTGAGGATTAAAGCCAGCATCAATCTCTCTGCTGCTTCATCATCTGCTGCTGACTATCATATGTTAAACTGTCCATCCGGATGCTTTGCTGATCCTCTCCACTCCAGCCTGCTACAGGTGGCCGGGCCTGGTACATGCAATGGGTGTGCGCAATGGGCACGCGCAGCTCTGCACACGCACAGCCGTGGCGTTTTCAGCCGTCTCCAGTGGAACTTAACCAAAATCGGACTGTCTGCTGCATCATCTCCTGTCGACCATTTTCTGGATATTCGCCTGTCTGGGTGCTTTGCTGATCCTGCTGGGTCCTGCCTGATCCCCATAGGTGAGCCTGGCCCGCGTCGCACAACAGCTGCGGTGTCTTTGGTCCTAGGAGATGCGGTTCAAACTCCAAAAATCTAAAACAGCTGATCTGTGCTCCGTCCTCAGTTTTTCCTTCAGCTACTGGTCCTACTAAGATTGCTCTGCTGAATGTGAGGTCGCTGACAAATTAAACATTCATCTAAAACGACTTTTTCTGCTCCAGTGGATTGGACTTCATGTTTGTTACAGAGACCTGGCTCGTCCCTGGTGAGTTAAAGTTTTTTTCTTAACTTTTGCTGGTGGGTTGTGCCTTTTTTAATGCTCCAAGGACTTCTGGTAGGTGTGGTGGATTATTAACAGTTTTTTTTTAAACTCTCGAACTGCAGACAGCTTCAGGCTGTAGCTTTTCAGAATTTTGAACTGCTGTATTTTGAGCTGGGCCACTCCAACCAGACACTGTGCAGTGTGATCTACAGACCACTCTCGTACAACCAAAACTTTATAAGCAAATTTTCTGACTTTCTGTCTGGAATACTGCTCAATTACGACAGGGTCTTGATTCTGGGGGACTTTAATGTACATGTTTGCTGCCCTGAAAAGCCTTTGGTGCAAGAGTTTCTAAATATGATCCAATCTTTCCACCTTGTGCAAAATGTTGTTGGTTCAACTCATCAACAGGGCCATATACTTGATTTAGTTCTGTCTCACGGTTTATCTGTGGTTAATCTGGAAATTGGGGATGTTATTGTTTCAGCATGATTTTCATGTATTTCAAGGTGTATCTTTGACTTTCTCTGCAATTTCTTTTGAAATACCATAATTGGCATCCTAAGTTTAGGCTTGTCTAAAATATAATGTCACAATTACATTGTATATTACCTATTACATTGGTAATTCCAATTACCCCAATTACTACAATGTAGGATCTAAAAATTCAGACTGACACAAAGATATAAGAAAGACATGAATTTTTGTTAAAATAAACAAAAAGGCTGATGTGTCAATGAATACAAGAAACACTGAGGGGAGCCAGATAGGGCATGAAAGTAAAATGACTGAGAGTGTGAATAGCTGTGGTGGCTTTGCTAACCCATATTCCACTAAATAAAAAATTGCAATGTTAATGCTAAACTTTTAGTAAAAACATTTGTGGAAGCTAACACTAAATCGCTAAGACCACTGTCAGTCAGCATCACATCTTCATCTCCTTCCAGTTGAATTTGCATTGACTAATCCCATCTTGTCACATGTGCATGTGGAAAGCCAATAGCATGCCTAATGGACTCTTCGAGTCACGCCCACAAATGGTAAATGGACTGTACTTACATAGCGCCTTTCTATCTAATCAAGCACTTTACAACACAATATGTGCCCTCATTTACCTCCACACATATTCATACAGCACTCTTCTAGATCTATACAAACATAACCTGAGTACATCCTTCTATAGAGCCTAATCAGTGCTTTAGATCGCATTCATACTCCAATGGGGTACGCATTGGAGGCGTACCCCATTGGACTTGGACTTGGTCAATTTTCAGTGTCTTGTCCAGAAACACTTCAACATGTGACTGCAGAGCTGTGGAATCAAACGCCCAACTCTCCCATTGGAGGATGACCACTCTAACCACTCAGTGACAGGTGCCCCTTCACAACACAGCAAGAACAAGCAAGTGAATTTTGTTAACAGACTTGAAGTTGGCGAAATCTATTATAGCGGAAGGTATAACCGTATCCAAAGTTAGCGAAAATGCTAATTCCCTAAACAAAAAATTTGTTCCACTATTAACTGTTAGTGGATTAACAGAACTGGGCCCACCACTGGTGAAGAGCAAGTGGCCATCGGGGCACTAATGATTTGTCATCAGACTAATGGTCCTCTTTTTACATGTAAACAACTAGTCTTGGCTGTCACCAAAAAAAAAATGGTTCATCCACTATGAGAAGGTGCTGTTTATAATAAGACTGTTTGATTCCAGCTCCTCAAACTTAAGAAGTCTTTTGGATAAACGATTAAACGTCTCACCATAGAAGAATCCGTCCAGAGAACCTGACTCAACCTTGTTAGATTTATCTGCTTATTATTACTGAGCATGCATCAGGACTGTCAGAGAGATTTGGCTCATCATTTTGCAGCTGCTTTTTGCTCTTTTTGACATATTCATAAAGCAAACAGTCCTAGTTACTTATTTTCTGCAATCTCATAAAAATTTGTTCGGTGATGTTAAATATAGGTGTTTTGTTAACAAATGCACATGTAACCATAGAAAAGGGCAAAATGGGCAAAAACAAATGTCTACTTTTTGCAGTGTGCTATGAAATGTACATGAAATCTGGTAACTTGCATTCAGTAATATAAATTAGAGTTTTCCGTGTGTTTGTGCTGGATGACAAGTGATCATACAGAGATAAAAATGAGTCAGCTTCATGCTTACTCACCCTGCTACCAGCCAACAAGTTCAAATCACCCATACACTAGTTATTTTTAAGGTCAAACATAAGAAAAGAATGCATTAGAAGTTGAAATGCAACCTAACAGATATGTAGCTTTTTCTTTTTAAAGTAGAAGTATGTGTGTGCTCAGTGAAATGCCAGATAAATGCAGTGTGGGGCATTATCTGTTTGGTCTGGAGAGGAACCACATTGTAAAGCAAGTTTTATCTGATCTATAAGATCAGAGAACCTAACTCTGTCTGTCTTCAGGCAAGTTAACACCAGGCGAAGAATAATGGTTGTTTTTTTCACCCCCTTTCACAGGTGTGCTGCTTTCTTTAGACAGTTGAGCTTGTCAGCATTATGTTGCAATGATCATGAGGGTATTTTTACTATAGCTTATTGCCATGGCAATGCAACAAACTTGGACTTACTAATATCCACATATCCCTTTCAACACAGCGCAATCTTGTTAACTAATTGCAGAAGCACTCAGAATGAACTTGCTCACAACAATATGTCACATACAATCAGTATAAAAAATAATGATGCTGTTCAAATTTTTATTACCAGTGAATTCCTTATTCCAGCAACTACTTGTAACTTTTTATGCCATTTTAGCCAAATGCAATTCAATTAAAAAATACTTTATTGATCCCAAAGGGAAATTAATTGTTGTAGCTCATCATCCTGGTTTCATTAGAGTTGTTCTAGAAGCTGATTGCTGTGGGCAGGAAGGATCTCTTGTAAAGGTCCGTCTCACAGCGAATTCGAAGAAATTGGCTGCAAATGCTGATCCATCCACCAGGACCCAGCAGACCTCTTGGTCCTCTTGGGTAGCAGGACTGCCTGAATGCCAGGCAGAACTCCTCCTCGAGCAATGGCCATTTCTCCCAGCAGCCTGCCGAGCCCCTCGTCGCCGCGGACTTAACTGCAGGTGCCGGGGGATGATCTCAGTCCTCCCGCTGTAACAAGCCATGTTTTCCACTACCTCCAAGATCTCTGCAGTCAGACACTGAGGTTAGAAGATGGGCCTGTGATCGGAAAGTCGCAGGTTCAACTCCAGTACCGTCAAAATGTGGGTGGAAAAGGTGAAACACCCACACCTGTCTCCACCCTCATTTGCCCCACTCTAGGCCCCTGAGCAAGGCCCTTAACTCTCACCATTTGCTCCTTAAACAGGTCTCTCTTAAAAATGAGTTCTTGGCACTCAATGAGACTACCTGTATAAATAAAGGGTAAATGAAAAAATATATATTATCTATGGGGAGTTTAATGCTCCATAGGACTGTGCAGAGATCTTCAGTCATTCCTCATAATTGCTTACTGATGAAAAGTAGAAGGCAGATGGGATGTTTTTAACTGTTTCTGTGTTTGTCTGTTACCACAAAATATAATAAAAAGATACATTTTCATAAAACTCTGACAGATGTAGATCTACAGTTACTACATTTTAGAGTCAATCCAATTAATGGGCCACCACAACTATTCAGCTTTGGCAAACACAAATATCACTATACTTTGGCCAGTCGACACACATTGAGCTAGAATTTGGTATGCTAGTACCTGAGACTCATTCCCAACACACATTCTGGAAACTAAAAGATCTGAAAAGATATGTGTTTAAATATGTTTGGGGCAGCTGTGGCTGAGTAGTTTGATTTGGTTTAGCAGTCGTCCTCAAATAGGAGCGTTGGCCATTCGATTCCACCAGAAGTCACATGTTGAAGTGTCCCTGGGCAAGACACTGAACCCCTCATTGCCTCTGGTCTGTCCCATCGTTGTATGAATGTGATATAAAAGCACTGATTAGTCTCTCTAGAATGATTTGTTCATATTATTTTTTAACAATGTAGTAGAGTGCTGTACAAATTAGGTTGGAGGTAAATGAGAGAACAGTCTGAGAGCTGATAAAACATCTTGACTAGATAGAAAGGTGCTATATAAGTACAGTCCATTTACCATTTAGATAGATGCCAATAACTACTGGACTCAACTTTTTATGTTAACAAAATGTCTCAAAAACTACTGGACTAATTTTAACTAGACTTTCAAAAAGTTATGTGTGGATAGACTTCTCACATTAATGTTGTTCTCAGATTGCCTTGAGACAACTTCTGTTGTGATTTGGCGCCGTATAAGGAAACTGAAAAAATAACCTCAATTAACTTTTGGAAACAATACAATTTATGATGGTTGCTAAGCTAATCAACTTTAAACAACACAAAAATTGCTACCACTCAGTCAATGTTCCGCTCCAGATGTAAATTGTGGTGCAGTAGTAGCAGAGAGTGATTGCTACTCATACTCTGAGCCTGAGCTCTGACATAACGATATAATAATCAGCAGTTAGGTTGAACTGATAAAGACAATACAAAGCAGTACGAGCAGGTGGCCAGCCACCAAAGAAAGGTCAGGGAAACAGCTGTAGTGGCACGTAGCTCAATGTACCTAATTGTTTGACAAGACTGAAAACATGGATGTGACCCATTCTTGCTTTGTCTGAATCAGTAAAAGAACAGTGTTATTTACAACCTTTATTTATAGCTGGTTGTTATTTGGTAATGAGAGATGATAAAACAGTGTTTT